CAACACCATAAATCCCTTTAATATATTTGTTGAAAAAATCCATACCAAACACCATCTGAAAATTTGATATTTTCAACACTACCAAGTCCACTCTTTCTTTCCACTTGGATATTTTTATTGGAACATCACTCACAAATTTTCTGGCTACTTGCCCACCTTCTGCAAACCAAAAGTGTATGGGTGGCATTTGCTCAACATTCAATCCTAACAACATAACTAAGTCTTTGGATATCACATTGTGCGAAGCTCTTATATCAATCATCACTCAATGTCCGTAGATAAAGCCTACCAGATACATCAATGGATCAGTGTTTGCATTAACCAACTCGTCAACCCCTTCAGCTTCACCACCACCATTTTCCCTCATGACATTAACACAAGACCTTGTCTTATGCTTGTTGGGACATTCCGAGGACCTATGTTTTGGCTCTCCACAATGGAAGTAATGACCCATACTACCCGTTTCGCTAGGAGTAGGTTTTGCAGGTTGCTATTGCTTGTACCCACCAGGAGGAGGAACAGAGGGCCTAGGACCAGAAGAAACTATTAGTGGTCTCCAACCATTACCACCTTTGTTAACCATTGCTTCTAAGCCTCTAGAATAAAACCTTTCTTCCACCCTTTATTTTCGATCACCTTGTTTATTCCCATATTTCTTATTCTTGTTTGAGGTACCAGTATATGGTTATTGATATTGTTCTATGAGTGAGTGACTAAAGGCAACTTATTATGCTACCTCCTTACACTCTAGGTATGTTTTCAGTTTAAACTTCAAAATCTCATTTCAAGAAAGTGAACTTAAACCCTCTAGGAAATAATTCTGAGCATCTTCGTCACTCATATTTGCAATCATAATGCGCTTTTGAGCAAATGCATTCGCTGCAGCTCCGTGTGAAGTCTCAGACCAAGATCATCCGGCAAGTATTCTTTACGGATATGAGACCGCATCTTGGTCCAACTTCTAGTCTATCCTTTTTCAGCATACACCTAGCGCCACCAAGTTTTGGCATGATCGGTGAGAAAGGATTGCACGCACACAACTTTCGTATGATTATCTACGTCTGCCACTATGAAATAGTTTTCCATATCGTAGACCCAGTCTTCCAAAACTTAATAGTCCCGCATGTCTTTGAAGTTGGGTGGTTTCAGAGGCTTGAACTTTGAAACTCGTGCAACTAGAGGTGGTTATAAAACTTCATTGTCCTCAGAACTTAAAGAGGAGTCCAGTTGCTTAGGTTTAGTTGGTTTAGCTGCCTCAGCTTCTTTCTTCCTCTTCTTGTTCTCCTTCTTCAATTTGTGAACTTCCCTTCACAAATTCTCAATTTTGATCTCTTGAGCCGTATGCTACAGTGCCATAGCATTTGGCTTTTCCTCTTCTGACTCAGCCTCAACCTCTTCCACAGCATCTCTAGCCGGAGTTTCCTCCTCTCAATTCGCCCGCTTAGAGGTTTCAGTGTCATCAGCACGGTTCCTTTTCACCATCCCACTAGCTGCATGCATGCCTCTATCAGTAACTAACAACATTCTTACCGAATAGTGCAATCCAACTAATCCTACATATATCGTTTTGGATCTACTTGAAAAGTCTCTGTGTATGCAACTTGAATTAGAAAATCTGATAAAAGTTGGATAAAAATCATTGAGACAATTCCTCTAATACCAAATGTAGCGCATCTGAATTTGGAGCTAAACTCCAAGCCTGTTGCACTATGAAACGAGGGTCCGATACAATCCCACGAGCACCAGCTCCCTGTATCCAGTACTTGCACACAAAATGGTGTCAGATGGAGTCTGGCACAATTTGGCATACTGGTGGCCTAACGTGAGGAGGAGGGTACCTCACTGACTAGAGCAGAGTGGAACTTGGGTTTAGACCCAAGCCGGATGCAAGACAAGTAGCAACACAGCCAACACCATTGTTTTCAGGCCAATCTCTACATTCTATAGACATGCCAAATGAGCAAATCTAAACACTTTCCATAAATAGCATTTGAGCTAATACAAAAGGTGTATTTGGCAGACACGGTAAGCTATCATTTAGCAAATATTAAGGGACTAGTCTTAATATCGCAGGGGTCCCCAACACTAGTAAGTTCAAGCCAACAACATAAGTTTCTTGTCACCATGTCAAGTATACTTGACTTAATGACAACTTAGGATTTCCTTCTGTAGTGCCCTTTCGGTTTAAATGCACATGGTAATCATCTCAAGAGGTATTTTCTCTATGTTAGTTCCTTCTATTTCATTGTTTGTCTAGCCTTTAACGCTTGGGTTTTGCAATTTCGAGGCCTGATACTATGTCGGGAGGATAGTGTTTCGCTCCTGTGGGATGCCAAATTATAGGAATGTCCATTATGATTCTCTTACGAGATAAGTTTCTTTCCTTTTAAGCACGGTTATTAATTTAGTGTCATGAGATAGAATTTCTTTGATCAAATCGCTATGCATTCTTGTTGCTTTCAGCCTGCCTCATATGGCTCTTGTTTATATGTATCTTTGTGTTTCCTTGACATCTTTGATACTTGTTTTAGCTGCCTTACCTACGTTGAAAGAAGGCCAAGCCACTTGGTCCAAGAGTAGGGGTTGGTTCACGCTGACAGTTGGCTGCCTTGTTCAGTCCTTTTGGCCGGACAACTTATCCTTTTTGACAGGCTATTACTTGTGTCTGGATGTCTTGGGAATTTTCCATCTTTCTGTGTTCTTGTGAATTTGTTTTCTATTCATCTTTGCCTCGGAGCTTGGCCTTGAAATCTGTCTCAAAACATTCTTTGTCAACCCTCTTTTGGTTGAGACGTCTTCCGGTTTCTCCTTTCCAGCATATTTCTTTTTTGCAAGGGATGCATTTTGCCCAGTGAGAGTCGCCAAACCAGTACAGCTATGATATGGGAGTATGGTATAGAACCATATATAAGGGAGAACTAGGGTAGAAAAGATGCTCTAGAAGGGCAATGAAGTACATCTTTCTAGTGATGTCTTTGATCTTTGTTATCCGGAATGCACACTAAAGGACAAAATACTGTGTCTTAGTTTGTAACATGAAGATGCATTATTGTTCTCTTTTTTTCCTAATCAAACCAATCCAATTTTTTTTTAAAATTATGAATATGCAAGAAATTCTTGCCCTATGTGTAAATCTGAGGTACGGCACTGTTATAACTCTTTTTTCTTGAAAGTCTAGCGTTCCATGTCAATCTATTACTTCACCTATAATGCTTTATTTCGTTAAAGTGGGACTTTTCATTATCCCACTTATGGTGTGTGGCCACATGCCATTTTTATAACAACAATAAAAAATTGAAATTTTAACTTTATAATTTATAAATTAAAAACTTTTCATATGATTTTGTGTTATAATATTGTGAAATATAAAAAAATAAATTAAAAAACTGATAGAAATATTAATAAATATTAATTAAGTACTAGGAAATGGCATGTGGACACATGCTAATTAATGTCCCACTTTACTGAATAAGTCCCACTTTAACGAAATAAAGCATTATATAGAAGGAATTACCTTATGCCAATCACGTCTTTGATCCAACCATGCTTGGCTCTATCTAAATTGAAACGCCATAAAATCGAAATGGGAATTAAAACGTTTACAAGCTTTCTCAAGCTCCTGCTCTCGGAGCGTATGTCCAAAGTGATGGAAAGACAAGGTGCTTCTAGTCTGCCAGTTCTGATGTCATGAGACGTGTAAATTTGCAAATTTTATGTAAAAGCCAAGAATAGCTCTAGAGATCAACAAGACCTTTGTTGTACTGAATGTCTTTATTATCTTCCTTCTGCTTAAACTGGTACTAAGTGCAACATGTTATACTTCCATCATTGTTGGTTGCCAGAGTGGTCATTTGCACGGCCTCTCCACTGCTATAGTAGCACTTCAGCTTGTCTCTCTGCAAATAGCAGCTGGTTTTGCGATCTGAGGTACGCTTTTTAACATCCAAGATAGCATCGCCATTCCATGTAGTGTCCACTTTCTTGCACCAAGCCAACAGCTTCCCGGTGTCCGCTTCATAAATAGTAGGAGTGCAACTGTTGAGAAATCCACCGCACTGAGTAGTTTTCCTGCAGCACACCATGTTTCCGTCGTTGTTCCCCGCATATTCCTCCATATTGACGCTGAAGAAGTCGTTACGACAAGAGAAGATTGGAGCTGATTGGTTTGATCCAGGCGGCTGGAGGCTGCAATTGGCCACTCCACCGCACTCGTCTGTGCTCAAACTTGACTCGTGCTTAGAGCCATTGACCATTTGGCAACTTGCTTTCAGCACATTTTTCTTATAAGAGATGGGTGTACAGGTTTTCAAAAAGCCTCCACATGATGAATCACAACTCTACAAGAAGCCAAATCAAGTTCTTTGGTCGCAGAAGAACTGTGAGCTTACCACGAGTAGGAATGTGTTGATTACAAGCATCAACAAGGCACACACAAGCTTATGCATTGTGAAATTGCTCTAAGATGGTCTAGGTGGCGTTCTCACGTTAGTTTGAAGTGATATCTTTGATCTTTGTTAGATCCGGAATGCACTTTAAGGACGAAATACTAAAACTATTTATTAGTTCACACGTGTTTTGACAATGCATACCAATGTGCATTTTGTGACATTTTATGAAGAGCTAGTGGTGTAAATTAAACATGGATATGAACGAGAATAAGAACTTGGCCAGAAGACACAACAATGCTCATCTCTGGAATAGCTCTTGAAACACCAAAAGCTTGGTCTTTAGTGATACTTCCACGTTTCATTGTTGCTTCACGTGTCTGGGATTATATCTGGCTCATGAGACCATCAAAACAGCTTACTATAATCCGTTGGTCTCATGCTTCTTCTTCTTGGTGGGCACCACAAGACCCTGTAAACAGCGAATGAATGAATGAATGAATATCCCCAGGATCCACTATATCCTTCAAAGCTCGTCTCACATTCATCTCGCTACCATCAGCACTCTGGAACCCTTGCCAATCACGTCGTCTTTGGATGATCTATCTTCGTCTCGACGTAAAGAGCTTCGTGGCTCTTCTTATAACAAGATATAAAATTTCTTTGAAGTGTACAGCATAAAAAGCTCTTGTAATAACAGGTCGTCTACCTGTTTCATAAAAATACAAGCGTTTTTTCTGTCTCGTTAGTAAGACCGGGTCCTTTCGATCCCTCCCCCGTTCCTTGGGCCACCGGATTTCTCAAGAGACATGATAAACTTGCGCAAGTGCCTGATATACTCTGGATAGAGCTCCAAGTTGCAGTGACCCCCTCCTTTGAGCCACAGTGGCTCGTACTTTTCCTTGCAAAGATCCCACAGCTGCTTGCCGTGCGAGCAATCCACAACTTCGTCGCTGGTACCCTGTGAAAAATGAAGATCAGATTCCTCACCTACAACTAGAACCAAGTGGGGAAAAGAAGAAAGAATAAAGAAGAAACTTTATCACTTACGTGAATGACGAGCACGGGACAATTCACGCGTCTTATCTTTTCAATGTTCTGCAAGGGACCGAAGGTAAGAAAATCAAATCAAAGAACTCTCTTTTCATACCTTGTAGATATCAAACCAGTATGTTCTCTTGACGGGGTACATAACACGCAAGCCGGAGAGGATCGGACTGTGAAGAACAACGCCTCGAACTTTCGGGAGCCTGGCCGCCAGGTCCACTGTCGGGCCACTTCCCACGGACTGTCCATAGAGCACCACATCCTCTTGTCTCACGCCATAGTCTCGCTCCAAGCACTGATAGGCAGCTTCCACGTCCGCGTACGTGTTTGCTTCACTCGGCTGGAAAAAGATGGACATTCCAAAGTGAAAACCTTAACCAGAGTTCATGGCCAAGTACAAGAACAATGAAAAACTGCAAAGTTCCTGTAGCTAAAAGAGACAGTATAAAAGAGAATATCTACACAGAAAATGCCAGGCAAATAGTTATAAGAGGAGAGAATTCTATCGTACCTTTCCACTAGATGCTCCGTAGCCTGAATAATCGTATCTGCGCGAGGAAGAAAAAAATTCAAAAAATACGAAAACGAAACCAGTCAATGATAGAAACTTGGGACAATAATCAATGAAACAATGGAAAAACAGCGAAAGAACGGCAGTGAGAAAGAACTCGAAAGAACTCAAACGAAACAAAGAGAAGGAAAAAAAAACAAAAAATCTCCAAGCACAGATCAGTGGAAGAGAGGAATTCCCATCCAAAAATCGAGATTTTGGGCTTACCCCATGACGTTCACCCGGAGATGGACGCTGAGCTCCACCAGGAGCTCATACATTTGTCCCAAATCCGCCGCATTCCCATGCGAGTAGAGCAGCGTGAGGCGCGCGGCGGAATGGTGGACGTAGATCCCCACAATGTCTTGCCCTCGCTTCGTCTTCATGCTCACCACATCGACGTGATCCCGGTTGAGAACATCCGAGAGGACCAAGCGGCCAGTGATCTGGTCCCGGATCACTGCGTACGACGGAGGCGTCGGGGGAAAGAAGGCAAACCTAGCTGCAACTGTGGATGTCACACCGCCCATGGCTGAGAATCCACGAATTTGCTGGGAATCCTGGGAACAAGACGACGATTCTTGGGGCAGCCGCAGCTACGCGATCGCTGGAAATTCCGCCATGAGAGGAGCAGTGAGTGCTACATTGGGGAAAGGGATCTGGCCCAGCGCAGCGCCAGACCTAGGATAGTGCCCTACACAACGCAAGACGCAAGCAAACAAAAAGAAACACCATGCCAAGAATATGCGCCTCGGTTTAAATAAGAACACAAATTTTCTTATGGTGGTCAAATACAAGTCAACGAGAATTGTGTTGGGTCTTGAGTTCTTTGACCAATGACAATGACTTCGTCTTTTTGCCAAATTGTCCAGTGATCACACAGTTTCACTGAGGTAGTGAATCTCAATTTATCTTTTGGGTGAAGAACAGATTAAAGTGAATTACTTTCAAAGGTAACTTTTTCCTCGATGATGAAAGGAAAGTTTAAGGAAGAGTTTAAGTGCGTATCCACGACAGCCATGCACAAGATGTTTCTACTATTTACTCACGTGAACATGACATGACACACTTATAAGAAGTTTTTAAAGTGTACAAACCTTTGAACGGGTTGTTCAAAGCGAGTGTGTAATGACAATAGTGAATGGGAGCATTCAGCAAGATGTTAAGAAGACTGGGTGGCAAGTATTCCACCTGAAGATATCAAGTTTGGCCGCCAGAGAAAAGGAGGCAGCAAAGATTGTATCTATGCATCTGTAAGTTTTTGGTCATGGAAATTATCTGCATTGAATCAGCTACGGCTGTTTTGCTCTTCACAGAAGTGGTAAGAATCCTTGGTCTATATGGACTTTGCGTCAGCGTGTAAGCGATTTTAGAGATGCTTAGGTTCAAGTTTCCCTTGAGAAGTGGATGGCTTTTCTCCGTATGGATAGAAACCATGCAAACGCTGTGACAATTCCTCCAAAAGAGAAAAGGAAAGAACTCCTCCATAACCCAGGCCGGCACCAGCTGAAAGAGGAGATTGAAATCTTTCACGGAGGGCACCATATAAATGCATCTGTAACCTCGAGCTGAAGCTCTTAGTACACGATACTATCCAAGCCAGAATTCTTCTCTCAAACCGACACTTGCTGAGTCTTTACCACCTTCTTCTGTTTTGTAAATTCGTCCTGACAAACAAGGAATTCATGCCATGTGGTGGGAGGCTGATGAAGCTCAGCTTTGCAAAAAAGAAACAGGGAGGACACCTCGGGTTGTGTTGCTTCGAGCTGGCGGATAAGTGATTTACCCTAAGAGGAGGTTGCGGTCATGATATCTGGTCTTCTCGTACCTTAAAGGTTAGCCTGCACTGTTTTCTTTTCTCTCTTTTTTTTGTTGGGTAAGTCTCTAGCTAACTTTTCAGCTCAAAGATGGAATCTTATCTCTGCACGGGTGCCAAACCGTGACCATGCGAATTAGGAGGAACAAAATCGGATCTCGCTAATGTCACGTAAACAGCGAAAGAATAGCCATTGCAAAGTTATCCAAAACTCTAGAGGAAGTGAGAGAGAGAGAGAGGTGAAAAAAGCTTGATAAACTTTACATTCCAAGAACCAATGTCCCGGGATCACGTAGCACCAAACTATTCTCTAACTTTTCTTGATCCGGGCACGATCCATCCAGGGAAACCCACCAGGTCTTGACTTGGCGATCCAATCCACCACTCACAACCCGGGCTCCAGCCCCGATAGACGAGGAAGAACAAGCAGCCATAGACACCGATTTCACCGGGCCTTGATGCCCCTTGATCACGCACAAGCACGAGTGGATCGCTGTGAATCTCTCCCTCGACCACACGCGGATCGTCCTATCGGCGGATCCACTGCAAAGAAAGAAATGCCCATCTTGGATGCCGCTGGAAATCGCCAGGCACAGCACCGCCATGCAATGCCCCCGCAGGGCATCCACCGCCGCCATATGCATCGCCGTCTCCTCGCGCTCCCACACCACGATTGATCGATCGCTCGACGCCGAGTAGAGGTAGCCCGACGAGGAATCTAGCGCCAGGGCGTTCACTGACGATTTGTGGCGCTCCAGGACCGCGACGAGCGACAATCCAATCTGTGCCTTGTTCTTCCCTCCCAAGAAAGAAGAACTCTGGGAATTAGAACAGAGCTCCCATGCTTTGATCTTGCCATCGGCGGCAGCGGTGTAGACAAATTGCTGCGCGGCGGCCACGGCATTGATCGCATCGTCGTGGGCCGCGCGCACGGAATTCAGGCACTTCCAGTCAGCGGCGCGCCAGATCTTGAGCGATCGGTCCCAGGAGGCCGAGAAGACGAGATCTTTGGTGGCGGCCAGGCACGAGACCGCGTCGGCGTGCTGGATCCAGAGCTTCTTCCGGTGGCGGCGCACCTGGATGTAGCTCGAGGGGAGGATGGATCGCGAGAGGACGTCCTTGACTGTGGGAAGAGTGTGGCAGAGCTCGATTTCCTCGCTAATTATTCCCTGTTCTTGGCGATGGCGCTTCTTCTTTCGCCACACACGAATCTTGCCGTCCTGGTGGGCGGTCAAGACGCGATTTTGATGCTCCAGAATGGCTTTGATGCTGCCCCCGCGTGAGCCCACGGCCTCGAATTCTTTAGAAGCGCAGGGATTTTGGTGGATTCCATGGCTCTCGGTGCCGACGAGGAGGAGCTCTGGGCTCTCTGTGGCGCAGAGGGCGGTGATGCCGGATTTGGAGGCGATGGCGGTGGAGGGCAGCGACTTGTAGGGGAAGTTCTTGAAGACGCAGCTGGTGTAGAGACACAGGAGCGCCGAATCGACGCTGCTACCGCGTTGAAAGGACGAGACCGATGGGAGGCTCGAGGCAGAGGACTGATGCGAATAAGAAGATCTGATGGAGAGTTTAAAATCGATGGAAGACGAGGAATTGGAACATCGGGAGAAGGAAGAAGTCGAAGAGCAAGAAGCTGTTGACGATTCTAGCGAACTTGCCTGATCAGCTGCGCTATTGCAAAGCCCGAGCTCCATTTTCGGCTGTAAGGAGAGACCCTTTTAGCAAAATGGAGCCAGGAGAGCGATTCCGCGGGGTCAGCACGCGAAGTTCATGGATGATCGGATTTTTCGTTTGGTCAGCCAAGCGAGAGAGAAGGAGATGGAAGGGAAACTTCTATCAACGGTCGTATTTAAAGAAAGGAGATATGAAAGATCCGGTTGTTCCACGCGGGCATCGTTCCAGCTAGAAGGCACTGTGACAGTGCCTTTTCTTTTGCTTATCTTATCCATACTTTTCACTAAATTGATTGATTCATAGTTTAATCCACGAAGGCATTAGGCATTCCTCGAGAAAGTGTCCCTTGATCCGCTAAAGAATCGTTTCTTCTTTCTCTACAACAAACTAAACAATTGATTCGACGGTAGCTTTTGGTTTGCCCGACCGGACCAACGAACAAGTTGCGCTTAAAAAACTTGGAAGTCTTTTCGCTACAAGGGATTTGTTTTTCAAAGGAAATCTTCCCAGTCGTTGATCGATGATCGATGGGCCGCCGCCTTTAAAACACACACTTTCCTGGTCGATTGAACGATAATCTATAGACTATTAGCTGTGATCTCATGGAGGGTCTCATCCGTTATATGTTTTGTAGCCATCTTTGGACTAGCAAGCAAATCATTCTTTTTGCTACTTTCCTAACACGCCAAAGATCCATAGCTGTGTACGCGGGGAGCCATTCACGACCACGATCGATCATATTCTCTGTTTTTCCAATTCTTTTTGTTCACGATCATCAAGCGCGATTGTACCGGGCCGTGCTAACTTGCCGGGCGATCCAGAGAAATAAAGTGGTGACGTTTCCTCTCGCGGATAAGATTGGAGATTTCAAGGCCCAAAGGGTGAGTGGGGCGCTAGCAGGAAAGCAATCGTTCCCCTCAGTGGAATCGTGGTCCCCCAAGCAAAAACTTCCAGAGCTGCGAGACGAAATCCCAGCCGTCCGATTTCTACACTTTCTTCTAGAGCGCGCGAAAAAGTATTCTAAAGCGCGTAGCATACCCTTAGTGTATCATATCATATTTGTCTGTTTATATACGAGAATATTTAAAGCGTATAGACAAGCTATCACGTTAGTGACAGTAACTTTGGAGCTAGCTCTAGCAGCGTATAAAAAATGCAAGCTATCTGTATGTCACAGCAAGCAAAGAAACAATCCACCTGATGCGAGCAAATCACGAGAAGCAAAGATCCAAACAAAAACAAAAAAAAAAAAAAACTAAGAAACCACTCACCAAGCCAGGAAAAAAGGAAGAACAATGAGCGCGGAGGAAAGGATCGAGAGTTAAGAGACCTCCACTTCTTCGGCGGCGACTACCTGGTTACTGCTGCTGCTGGAAGCGATCTTCTTCGAGCAATGGCCGCCGGGATCTGCCGAAGTTAATCGCTTACGAGAATCACCTTGCTTGGAGTCGGACGATGGCGATCCCGAGTGTTGCCTCGCCGGCCTCGCGGGCTTCACGCCTCCCGGGTACACGAAGAGCGGGATTTGCTTGCGACGGACGTGAGAGACGTAGATTTCCATGCCCGGCTTCCACGACGTGTAGGCCGCGACGTTGAGCTTGAACTGCTCCACCGTTGTCCGGATGTCGAACTGTTGGCCTTCGTGGAGTGGTGCTCCCAGTTTTCTCTGTAGGCCCATGAAGTATGCACAGTGATAGCCGTCCCTTGCCATGTCCACGAAGTCTGAGGGATGTGGATGGCACTGGAGCATGCCGTACGTGTCCTTCTCCACCTAGAAATGGATAACGCGTTAAGCCAGAAAGCGTTCGCTTTCGAGAAACATAGCAAGCGCTTCCTCTTTACCTTCAAAGTTAGTTGCCTCAACCGTGACTCCACCCAGCCTTTCCAGCACCGGTGGTCACAGTCGTCTATCGCCACTACGTCAATCTGCAAGTAGTTCCTATACGCCTCGAAGAATGAAAAGCTCTCGAACAGCAAATCCCAGGTTGCCCTGCTCATCTCTAGTTGCTGCAGGCACACGAGACTTGTAAGCATTAAAGCAAACGAGCAAAGCCACTCGAGCGTACCTCACAGACTTCGTTGCCGCGGTTGAATTCCTGTGTCATTATCCGTAGAGTACTCGTAGAGACGTTGTAGCTAGAGTTCATGCAGGGATATGCCGGAGTTATGATCGGCATCAAGTGAGACTTATCTCTCGGGTTCTTCCTGGGGTCCCAGACTTGTAAAAGACCAAGGGACGATCTCTCCTCGATCGGGCACAACATAACTGGATTCGGCCACCTCCACTGTGTGTAAACACGGAAGAAACGGGAAACTAGCGTGCTCGGTACAGCGTTCGGGTAGAGCTGACAAATTCGAGCAACAAGCAGGGCCCAGTTGATGCCTCCTAGAAATCCCGTAACCTGCAAGCACAAAAACAGGAAAAGAAGTATCACTGTCGCTTGCAATTTCGTAATAACACAAACAAGCTCACATTTGAATAAACTCCTCGACGCTTGGCCCAATACTTCATACAGCGTAGTGTTGTACGAAAATGCTACACCATTTACCGATTTTTAGATGCAACCTACCGTGATCTACTGCTACCAATGAAACAACAGACCTGGATGTTGGGAACTAGACGAAGTATCTGGTCGGTCACTCGGCAGCCGTTTAAGCTGAGGACACTCTGCTCGTCCAGATTTTGCATTATGGACTCGTCGGAAATATCAAGATCCTGAAACAAAACTCATAGTCAAACAGCACAAACGAAGAAGAAAACTTCTCACTTCCGGTATCGTCCACGAAGAGAGCCTTGCGTACAGGAGATCAATAGAAATCCCGTCGAACTTGAATTTCATGACGGGAACATGAGCTTCCGGCACTGGATTGAGTTCTGTGACATTCTCGGTCTCGGCCAGGATATTATGCAACTCAACGAAGAAGTCTTCCTACAAAAACGATCATCGCTCAAAGGAAAAGTGCTGTAAATATTACCTCGCGTGTAGCATGACTCGGACCGACGCATAGTGTGTCAATGTCTGAGCCAGGGCCATGGACCTGCGACCGACAAGAACATAAAAAAGGGAAAAGGAAAAAAAAATCCAAAGGACGATACTTCCAAGTTCTTTGGAACTTGGTACTCACCCCAAGGCGATACGAGCCGAAAGTAAAAATCTTTGCATTCGCCTCTTGGACGACTTCGTTGCTAAATCCTTTGTTGACGCAAATTTGCCTCACCCAGCTCTTGACAATCTAAAACGAAGGACAAAAGGACAAAAGGTAACACCACTGCCTCTCCATCTCATCCAGATTGCGAGAAATACCTGATCGAGGCGCCCTAGAACACCCTCCCTCTTCATCGCCTCTTCGCGGCTCTCGTTAAGGCCAGCATTGGAGAGGAGCTGCGCGAAATCCTCGAAATTTCAGCAAGATTCCAGCAACAAATAGCGGCATACCTTCTCGAGATCGCGCGTCCTTCCTAGATCCGCAGGCGTCGGGCCGGCCGTGGAGAGCGGCTCCATCCGCGAGGAGACCTAGAACAAACACAAACAAACCCTAAAGCGCCATAGCCTAGTTATATTCCATTTTTGACCTTTTTCTCCCTTTTGATACTGGTGTTTGGCGCAGCGGCGCGAATTGACAATGGCAGAGGAGAGGCGCGATTCATTCCATGGATCACCCCAGGAAGAATTTCACCCCAGCGGCCGCATTCGCGGCGTTTGGATTCGCGTGCGTCTCGCTAGGGCTTTATGTCGCGCTGCTTCCTCCGGAATATCTCGATCGCGGCTCTCTCCCTGCGGGATTGTGGGCGAGAGCTCCGGATCTCTCTTCCGCGGAGATCCTCTTGCGGCGGGTTGCTGAGAATGGGACGCAGGGATGCCACAACGTATCCACCGCAGCTGCTGTCTTGTTTGGGATTCCTCGAGCGGAGGATGGAGGCGAGATTACGCTGGCCGCGGATGAAGTTCACAAGTTCTGGATCGTTTCGTATGCTGCCGATGGATCCAGGCGATGCTCGGGGGGAGATTTCTACGAGACCGACATCTCAGGTACTTTTCTTCGCGCTTTTCTTTCACAGATTAGAATTTTCAAGGCCAAGCTCTTTTGTTCTTGAGCTTGTTTCCTTCTTGTTTCTCTGGAAGTTGCTTGCTTTCTTTGCTAGCGTTTAGACTTCGTTTAGATTCCCGAGTCTCTCATTCCATCTTGTTTGATATGGTTTTCCTGATAGTACCTTGTGTGTGTGATTGCTCTTTCGCTGCAAATTCCTTCCATTGATTAAAACTTTCGATTGGTATCAAGCAGGTCCGACTTGGAAATCACGTCCACCGGTGACGGACTTGGGAGACGGCGCCTACCTGGTGGAACTCAAAGTCAATGGCGACTTCGCTAGAAGCTACAACTTCACGGTCAGTCTTGTCTACACGAACTTCCACGGGCTGGATCACGTCCCGAATAAGTGGGCCTTCAAGAAAGAGATGTTCCGCCTGCTCATCAACTTCACGGCCGGGAGTCGTCGGCGTAAACACCAGCTCCACACTTGCGCCGCCAGCGACTTAAGATCGACGACTTCACCACCATCCCAATGGCAGGGAAGATGGTCCAGGACCAAATTCAACAGCTCATGTCAGCTAGACAAGAACGGCCGCTACCTTTGCTTGGATCCAGCCGAGCAGTGCGACGAGAGCCAGTGCTCCGGAGCCATCAACAGCCTGGAGAGCAACGGCTGGGTCTACTCCGCGCACTGCAAGTTTCGGATCTGGAACTCTGCTGAGGCCTGGCAGTGTCTCGACGGGAAGAAGCTCTTCTTTTGGGGGGACTCGAATCACCAAGACACCGTCCGGAACCTCCTCAACTTCGTCCTGGGACACCAGCTGAAATTCGTGGATAGGATCTTCGTCGCCAACTTCACCAATCCAGCAAACCCGTCGCAGGTGGTCCGGCTGGCCTCGATTTTCAACGGGCACCCGGATCCACATCACAACTTCCTGGGCCTGGGATCGTTGTATGTTCCTCAGTACCGCGATTTCGTCCAGTCAGTAGTCCGCCAGGGTGGTATGCCGGACGCAGTGATCCTCAACTCGGGCATCCACGACGGCATGAACTGGAAGACAATGGCGGAGTTCCTCGAGGCTGCCAGGAACGCGTCCGTGTTTTGGAAGGATTTGCTCGGGGACGAGAGCAAAGCTCGGGTGGTGTTTCGCTCCACGGTTGCTACCGGCCTCGGGTTTAGAGATCTGGGGTCCAATCCACACAAGATGGAAGCTTTCAATTCCATCCTGGGCGAGGAGCTCGCCAAGGAGCTCGGGGGCTTGGAGCACTTCATGTTCGTGGACGACTATGATATCACTTTCCCGTGGCACTATGATTTCTGCTGTAGCGATGGCGCTCACTTTGGACAGCCACCGGCCTTGAAGAATTGGTTTGATCGAATTGGACACTTTTACTTTGTGGATCTAATGCTTGTGCATATACTGCTCACTGCTATTTGCTCGTAAAACTATGGTCATCTTTCACTAAAAGGTTCATAGATAACACTTTTAAGATTCGAGATCAATAAAAATGAGAGATTTTTTGCTCATACTTGCATCTGTGATGAGGTAAATCACGCTTGGAATTCAAACTTTCCCTTCTTCAAGATGAGCTTGCATTTGTAACGCAAACTCTTCATCACGGCCCGTTTCTTAGTAATCGTCTTTACCATGGTTTTACTGTGCTGTATTTTCACAGCCTCTAGCAGCACCATGGTGAACGTGCCCCTGGTCACACCTCTCACTGAGTAGCTCCAGCGCGGTGACCACGTGGCCTCTCCCCAGCAGCCGCTTGACCACCTCTTGACTTGACTTTTTGATGGCCATGACTCGCGAGAGCCATGCCGACATCTTTGGGCCCTCACGTAGCATGGCCTCAATACTCTCCGGGAATGCGCACCACCTTTTGCTCCTGAGCGCCACCTTGAGTGAATTTCCCTGTTTGCGATTCCCGCGTCATTTAGAAGCCCCGATTCCTTGACCAGAGCCATGGCATAGGCGTCTTGCGAATCTGGCCGCCACCTTTTCGCCGGGGTCGAGGCGCACGCCCGCGAGCTTGGCGCGCTTGAACAGCGAGAGGGCATCTTTCAGATGCGTGGTTCATTCGAAGAGCATCTGGTGCGCTTCCTCGGGATTGTCATGCAGATCTAGCACCGCGGCAACTTTCTCCTCGTAGCCGCAAGCATTGTCGTGCTGGAAAGCGCCCGAGCAGTTCACTCGCATCAGCGTTGTTCGCCTTTGCTTCCATGTGGGCGAGATGGAAGAAGCTCACGGTGTAGTAGCGGATCAAAACCTTGTACACCTTGGGATCCAGTGCGCTGCTCGGGTGCTCCTCCAGCATTTGCCGGAAGAGCACCTTCACAGTCCAACGACAGCGTATGGGACGGCGCAATTCCAAGCGCCCCTTTGAAGAAGTCCCTCGTGTAACCCAGCGTTTTCATGGTACCGAGGTGACGACAGCGAGCGAGAAGTGGGATGTGTGTGTGTGTGTGTGAGAAGAGAGAGAGAGAGAGCGAGAGAGAGCGAGAGAGAGAGACTTTAGGGCACCAGGAAGTTTTGAGAGTTTTTAGGGCACCAGGGAGAGAGGTAGATTCATGGTTTTAATATTAGATTTTTTAGGGAATGGAGATATGGAGGCTCGACGCCGCGGAGCCAATCGTCGAGCAGGTACTAGCGGCACAGCCATGGGAGGCGCTTCAGCGGCGTAAGCTATTCCTCCTCAATCACGTCGATGGCGAGATCGAGGACGAGGACGGCGACTGCGCCAATGGCTTCATCCTCGCCGATCCAATACCCTCGCCCTACCTCGGATCGCTGTACGTCGGCGCTTGCAGCGGCCGCAAGCACAAGCGCGAGATCGAGGTCGCCGATCGCCAGCCGGAGCACCAGATTCACGCCAGCGATGCGTGGTTCTGGTGTAATCTCTGCAACAAGGAGGTTTCTTTGGAATCCCTGGCGCTCGCGAGCTCCTCCGGGTGTTCTTGCCTCTTTTGCCGCGGCTGCCTGGAATCGGTGGTGTCCAGCGCGATCAAGGACGTTCTTCGCAGGAATCCTCCCCAGGTTTTGGATCCCGGCCCCAGCAGCAAGTCTCAATCGAAATGCCCCAAGCTGATGATCGATCTCACGAAGGATGACGACGATGGCGACGACGATTGTAGCATCGTTGGCGAGGTAGCGTCTTCTTCTTCGTTTTCTTCTTTGTGGGACTATCTCCCATGTCCGTCACCATTCTGCCGGGGGAAGTTCCGGCTTACAGACATCCAGTCCGTCTCTCCGGATTGTTTCGCCCAGTGGGAGGCAGCAGCGAGCGATGCTCTCGTCAAGAACAGTGGCTCCTTCGTCAAGTGTCCGGGTTGCCAGGTCGTGATCGAGAAAGTCGAGAGTGATTTGCCTCCGGGGCTGGCTCTTTCCGGGGTGCCGGAGTTTGACAGAACGGTTCCTTTCACCGAGCTCGACGACGATGGCAATCGTCTCTCTCGCCGCGCCATGGTGGACAAGGCCGTGAATCGCTTCCGGTGCGTGGTTTGCAGCATGGACTTTTGTGCTGCGTGCTTGCAACGCCCCTACCACCTGGGAAAGACTTGCGAGGAGTTCTCGCTCGAGAAGAAGGCTCTGCGGTGCATCTACTGCCATCAAGTGTGTCGGCACGAGATCAAGTCGCTCGTCGGTGGGAATGATGTTGAGAGTTCTTCGGTGAAGGATATACGAAGTCGGCTTGAGCAGGAAGGGGTGGACAGTGGATGGTGCGTGGAGAAAAGTGATCTTGTCGCGGTGGAGAGGTTGTGCGATCGTGTCTGCCAGGAAATGGAGTGTAGGCAACGGTTGAAACAAGCTTGCACGCGCAACTTACACTGCGGACACCACTGCTGTGGAGTGAGAGGTGAACGAAATTGCCTACCTTGTCTAGAGGTACCTTGTTAGGATTGCCTTGTGTCCTTGTGTGTTCTTCCTCGGTTTTATGCTTTTGGTGGTGGTGGATGCTTCCTTCTTGACGTTCATTTTTCTTCGTGTTTGTTTCCTTGCTTCGAGTTCGTTGAGCTCCTGATTTTGTTTTGTGCTGATGTAAACGACTGTTTTTTCTTCGTTTATCTCCTCGTCTCCAGTTTTTCATGAATCTATTTCACTTTCTTTTTTGGCAAAATAGTTCACACTCTCTACTTCTTCCTATACAGGAGGAATGCCAGAAGCAGAAGCTCTCGGGAAAGGCATTGGCGTCTGCTGATGACTTTTGTGGCATTTGCTTGGTGGAGGCGCTTCGTTCGGCCCCTTCAATTCTGCTTCAGTGTGGCCACATTGTGCACTTGCATTGTGCCAAGCGACAAATCCAGCAGGGATGTCCTGGCCCTCAAATCTCATTCGGGTATTTAAAGTGCCCCCAGTGCAAGCTTCTTATGAAGCACAGTAAGCTGGACGCGGACATGCACAAGCATTTGACGACAATGGGCCAGGTAAGCAACACGCTGGTTTTAAACTTCTTGGAACTCTTTCATTGTTGCGTTTGCAGATCAAAGCCAGAGCAATCAAACGTTTGAAACTGGAAGGAGTTTATGACAAGCTCAAGGCTAGTTGCAGCTCTGATGACAAACTGACTTCCTTGGCCTTGGAGCAGTACCAGTATTATATGTGCAGCAAGTGCAAGAACCCGTACTACGGTGGGAAGCGGAACTGCGGCCCAAACTTGGCGTAAGAGTTTTCTTTGTTTGCGCATTGCATAAGTTCTCAGAGCGTGGATTCTTGACAGGGAGGACCAAGGACGGCAATACGATCCCTCGGAGCTCGTTTGCGGTGGATGCAGTGCTGGTGCCGATGGCAAGTGCAAGCTTGGTCACGGTAACCAGTTCGTCGAGTTTAAGTGTCGGTTTTGCTGCTCCATAGCGACGTTTTTCTGCTTTGGAACCATCCACTTCTGTGACAGTTGTCACGGGATCTGGCCTCAGCAGCACTCGAGCTCGTACGTGCTTCCTCAGTGCAAAGGGCCCCAACACTGTCCACTGGGAATAGCTCACGCTCCAAACGGTAAGGAGCATTGTTTGGGTTGTTCTATGTGTAGAAGCCAAGAGCAGCTATAGAGCAACAAGCCGTACAGATTTTTCCAAAGGCGAAGTTCTGTTCTTTTGTCTCGTTTATTTATTTTGGAGTTTACGCACAGAGGTAAATGTTTTCTTAAGTATTATTTTAATTTTTTTCTTCTGCTTAAACTGGTCCTGGTGCTGGCGCTGGTGCTGGTGCTGGTGGTTTTGCAGGACGAGTGCAACACTCGAGCGTTCCATCATCGTTGGTTGCGAGAGTAGCAATTTCCACGGCTTCCCCGCTGCCATACTTGCAACTCAGCTTGGTTTCCTCCAACGAGCAGCTGCTTCTTGGATCTGAGGTACACGTCTTGACATTCAGGGAGGCTTTGTAATTCTCTGTACTGTCGACTCTCTTGCAGGAAGCCAGCAGCATCCCGGTGGTGTCGTTGTAAGACGTAGCAGTGCAACTATCGAGAAATCCACCGCAGGAGCCGGAGCCAGAGCCGTCGCTGGTCCTGCAACACACCAAGCTTCCATCGTTGTTGCTGGCGTACGTCTCCAGGTCGACGGGGAAGGAATCGTTGTTGGTGCAAGTGAAGATCGCGTTTGGTGCTAGCGAGGAGGTCCGGAGCTGGCAATCGGCGACTCCACCGCACTTTTCTATGCTCAAGCTCGAGTTGTGCATGGAGCCATTAACCGCTCGGCAGCTGGCTTCTAGGACTTTGTTTGTGTAGGAGAGGGGTGTACAGCTCCTCAGGAAGCCTCCACATTGATCGCAGCTCTACAAAAGAAAAAAAAAAAAGTCAAGTGTTTTGGAGTCTATTTACTATGCTTACCACAAGCAGTAATGTGTTGATTACAACCACCAGCAAGATGCATACAAGCTTATCCATTGTGTATGGCTAACACTGACGAGTGGTTTGTTAAAGTACCTTCGTTAGGTCCGGAATGTATGTTAAAGGACAGAATGGCACCGAAGACAGCCATGTATGTTGTATGTGTATGCTAGGGGCGTATGATACTATGCATGTAAAAGTCTGATGAAAAACATTTAATAATAGGATTTTAAGCTTAGTCTATTGTAATTAGTTAAATGACAATAAGCTAAACTAGACCATTTGTTTCTTATAATTAATATTATTGGATAGAATGGACTTTGCTCAACTAACAAAAACCTGCTAAAGTAGAATCAAAACAAAGGGAAAGAGGATACCTGAGTGCATTCCAAGTAATGAGTTGCATGTTCTTCATATTCCAAGCTGTTGATTCTATAAAACTTCACATCCTTGGAATTCCGGGGAGACTCGCGTGCGCTCAGTCCAGAATGCAACGACAATTTCCTTAATTCGGTGTCTGATATTTCTTCCGAGCTGTGCGTCCGAGCCTACCATTGCTTCGGGCCTCCTCTGCCTTTGCTTCATAGCAGCGTCATTAACTCTGTTTTGCCCAGCAAAGACAGATAAATTTCTTGATTGAACTCCTTTATTTTGTTGGCGAGCTTAATTTGCGTTTTGAGAGCAGATTTCCAAGACCTTTGAGAACAAGAAAACAAAAGGAACAAGCCTTTAGGTAGTTTAGGAAGAGGTTAAGAATCTCAAGCTTATTGTACTTGCGCGTCTCTCAGCGAAAAAGGAACTGATTTTCTTCGCCGTAGCTCGTTTGGCGTTCATGGGACGAGCTCTCAAACGGCTATCCGACCTAGAAGACAAACCTGACTGGGACGAAACCATCGCTGCTTCGGCTCGTTTTATCCAGCCGTAATCTAGGATGTATTGCTCTGCCCTAAATGCTCTCTCCTCTTCCCCCACCACGAGCGTGACGAGATTCTTTGGCTCGCTTGCCCTCACCGCTCAGCCTAGAATCCATTGAAAAACTTGGCCATTAAAGTGGTTCATAAACCGGTTGGTTACTAAAACATTTAACCAGTTTATGATACACCGTTCTGTGCTTAATACCGGAGCAGCTCCACTCGTGGTGAGCGTCATCGGAGAGAATGATCCTCGAGTGGATGCACGCGAGCGTTGGCTCATCTCTGGAGCTCCCCGCACGATCACATTCTCTTGCTCGAAGCGCATACACGTGGATGACAGTGTGGATTTTTCTTTGACGTGGCATCACAACTCTTCAACCTTTATTCTTGGAGAACGCAGCACAAGAGCACTCCTTCGAGGTTGCCGGCGACGCGACCCAGATCGATCGGCGCGCCGTTCCCCTCCTGGCAGCTCAGCTTACCTTGGTCCAGTTTGCAATTTGTGCTGGCGCTCCTGGTACAAGTCTTGAGATCGATGTAGGCCTCTTCGTTGGGCGGCTTGTCATGGCCCCTCTCGCAGCTCGCGACGAGCAATCCAGAGGCCTGATCGTAGCCCATGGGCGTGCACGAGTCGAGGAAATCGCCGCAAGCCTCGATCTTGGGATTGTTGCAGCAAACGATGGATCCGTCGTCGTTCCCGGCATAGGTGTTCATGTCGATTGCTGCCTCGCGGGCATCGACGCAGACGAGTGGAATCGATGGTTCGACGTGGACTTCGCAGCTGGAGACTCCATTCCCGCAGCTTCTCACGTCGAAGTCTGTGGTGTGGGGGGTACCCTTGATTGTGCTGCACTCGACTTTGAGGACAAAATTCTCATACGAGAGAGGTGTGCAGCTTTTCATGAATCCTCCACAAGGTTCAGCGCAACTCTAAGCAAATATCAGGACAAAAGAAGAAAATTTAGCGACAATCAAGATGGAAATTCTAGAATACTTACAGCAAAGAACTTGCATTTTGCAAAAGAGATGATCGCCAAGGTCCAAATCCAGCTAGCTCTAATTGCTTGCTTCATTTCTTTGTGTCAATGTTAGTAACACAGAAGTATGTGTGTTTATAGGTTTACGAGAATGTGACATTTGCATGAACATAGTAAAATTCGTTTGACAAAGAGAATTCATGAGGCCTCCCCACGTTTTGTATGGAAGATTAAAGATGGTATGTCCTTTTGTTTCTTTGTTGCCACCTGGCCAAATAAAATGGTGTTCAATTAGCAATGATCCAGATTTTATTATTATTTTTTTAATGGATGGGCTAATAGCTTTTGACTTTCACACCAGGAATTGAAATTAATAAATCTAAAAATAATAAACAATCATTATAATAACATTTTTCTAACCAATAAAATTAAACTAAAGCTAAAATCCTATACAAAATACAAAACTAAAACTATGAGTGCATGGAATATGGGAAGGGAATATAAAAAATATGTATATCAATTAACTAAAAAACCTTAGCTTATATACAGGAGCGAATGGTCTGAATTGAAACCAATCTAATAGCTACCAAAATCCCACTACACTAATATTAATATAAAGCAAGACCTCACATCATCCCCTCCTTTCAGAATAATAGAAGACCATAGTCTCTTATAAATGGGCCGAGATCTGGTGGAACATCAGGAGGAGCCATTGGTGGATTTGTAAGTAATATTAGTTGTTCCTAATCCTTTTGTACAAAGCATTTCAATTGCTACACATGCACAATTTCTAGAGGATTTGCCTGTTGGATGTCATGCCAAACTTTATAAACTTGTGGTCCAACTTGCCATAACACCTGATACAGTCTTTTTCATTAAGCAAGGAGCCCCTTAAATAAACCATGTACCATAAGATGGAAAAAATAAACTAACACTGAGTCATCCACTTTGTGCTCTGTAAGTGGATGATGATGGGAATTATAGCATCTTTGTTGTCCCATTTGTACGTAGCCTAGGTGTTTGGTAGACTCTACTTAGACAAGTGAAAGAATGTTTATCAAATATTGATCCCATAACTTAGCATTGACAGCTTGTGGCAATCCCAAAGGTAAAATTAGCTCTGTTAATAATATTGGATCATGACCATATAAGAGTTTATATGGTGAAAAACCAATAGAACTTTGCACCCTTGTGATATATGCATACTGAAGAGATAGCAAATAACCATCATAATCCGAATGCTAAAAGTTAACATACTTTGTAATCATCCCTTTGAATGTCTGAATAAGTTGTTCCATTAAACCATCTGACTGTAGATGATAAGCACTTGTGAAAGTGTGGCATATCCCTAACCAAGACATCAAAACATAAAATACCTCAGCCATAAATGTAGGGCCATTATTATAAAGAATCTGCTTTAGACAAGAATGGAACATTACTCGATTGAGAAGGAAGTATCTAATAGCAATTGTAGAGGCATTAGCAAGAGCATCAACTTCCACCTAACAAATCAAGTAGTTAAAAGCAATAATAACATATTCATTGCTAACAGTCGATCATGGAAAAGATCCCATAAAATCAAATGCCACAAACTCAAATGGACGAGAAACTGCAATTAACTTCAACTGTCCTTTCGTAGCATGAAAGGGAGTATTATGAGCTTGACACTAAACATAGCTACACACATACCGAATAACATCACATTGCATCTCCGGTCAATAAAAAGATTTGTGCAGCTTCTCGGTCAAACGACAATGTTCTATATGCCCACCTAAAATAGGAGAATCATGGTACGCCTAGAGAAACCGTGGAATAAAGATTGAAAGTATCACCAATTGTAAATAATTATCAAGATTCATCCCCACAAAATAAATAAGGCTGTCTTCAAGGCAATATTAAAAATGTAAATGCCAGAATGGCAAATTATCAGTGATACAAGATTCTCAAACCCTTCTTGAAGCCTTTGAATTCACGACTCAATCTTTTGAGCCTCATAAACCTTATTAAGAGAAGGTAGGCCTTGCTCTATACTTTGTGGACACAAAACGTTAAATACAACAATTGCCAATGGCATAGAATCCTCGTTTAGAAAATCCATAAATACTGAAACAATAGGCTTGTCAAAAACATGAAAAGAGAGTGAAAAAGGAAGAGGAGCTTGAGAAAGGGCATTAACATCACTATAGAACTCCCCAAGTGATGAATAATATCAAAATCATATATTTGAAGCTTCAAAGCCCACCGAATAGTACGACCAACCAGGTTTTTTCGCTTCAATAATAAAGTAATGGCAATATAATCACCTTCTAGTAACATTCGAGAACTATGTAGATATGCATACAGTTTTTTGAAACCCTAGACTGTTACTAAACACTCCTCTATCGTAGAGTGGTTCACATCCGTTGGTTGTAATATATGGCTGATATATGCAATGGGATGGTGTTAACTAGACACACTCAGGCTTTCTTGCATTAACACACTTTCAAGACCAATATTAAAAGCATCCACGCACAAAATGAAAGGTCAAGTATAGTCAGGATACGCTAAAACCGGAGGAGTCATTAATAGCTCTTTGAGATATATGAACGCCCGCTCACAGTCTAAAAACCAAATGAAAAACAATGTTGATGACTTTAGCAATGCTCACAACAGTGTAGTGCGATCAGAAAGATGATTCACAAAACAATTGAGATACTGCACCTTGCCCAAGAAGCGCTACACATCATTCACACACTTCAGAGTAGGAAATTTTAGAACAGCCACAAGCTTATCAGAATCAACTTGCAAACCCTTACGAGAAATATAGTACCCAAGATAAATTGTGTCTTTGGACCCAAACACACACTTCGACCGCTTCAGCTTTAAACCAACATCTTATAGCTGATCCAACCTTTATAAAGATTATAGATGTGTTCCTTTCATGTCCCCTTCGAATGGATCAAGACATAGTCAACAGTCACTTCCCGCATATTGTAAAGAATTTCATCCATCATCTACTAGAAATTCATTGAAGCATTGTTCAAATTAAATGACATCACCAAGAACTCGTACAAACCAAATGGTGTATAAAAAACAGTCTTGGGAATATCTTTTTC